CCGCAGACATTTCATGTTTCATGTTATATGCCAATGATTTGGCATAAAAACAAAGAACAGTGGAGAGTAGAAAAAAGAAAGAAGCAAAAAAAAAAAAAAAAAACAGTAACGGAAATGCGCGCAACACATAAAAAAAAGGATCAACGGCAACATTTTGCGAAATTAGTGCAGGCGGCCACAAAGGTGTTTTTTTCTTCTCTCCTTCTGAAATTTAGTATGCATATACACACGCACAAACAACCACACACACATTCATATATACATATGTACATGTACATATATTTTGATTTATGCATAAGTAATAAAAATTATAATAATGAAGGCGCTGACATGGGACGCAGAAGAGCAGCGAAAAGCAAATGTGAAAAAAAAAATCGCGTTACTCTGGTAGCACACGTGATGCTGCTCTCTCGCTCGCATACATAAGTATGTACGTATGTATGCTGTCTGCCCTTTTTGCTGCTCTGCTCTGTGCGTGTCCGTTACTTGGCGCGCAAACTTTGTAAAGCTACAGTTCAAATACCGTTGGGGGTGTCTCCAAAAATGAGTCACAGTTCGCAAATAATTTGAGCACAATGAACTACTTCTTTGCACCGTTTTTATTTTTATTTTATAACGGCAAAATTGTAAATAATCGAAAAGGCAACTGAAAGTAACGCCAAGCTTTTGCGTCGTTAGGGTTTTGCCAGTATATACCTTTCTCACTTGCTCTAATGTCCTGTTGTCACTAAATTTATTGCGTCATAGGCGCTYGATGTAGATGTGTATGTCCATACATATGTGTGTGTAGTTGTATGTGTGCATGCCTGTCAAACTGCAAGCGTCAGTTATTTGATGGTCGGACATAAAAACGGAATTTGGACTTTGTACAGGCTGTAAAAAGTTGAGAGAGCATCTCTGCTGGTGTTGCTGATTCTGCGCTGCTGCTGCACCCAAACGCCAAACGGTTAAACATAAAAGCTAACGGCAGTTTTATAACTCTAGCATAAGATTACCTTTTGAGTGCATAGACTTCGTCTGCCATCTTGGTCCTCATCGCCGAAAAAAAAAATTGAGTTGAGCGCAAAAGAAAACCATTTCGGCGACGAAAATTTTAACGTACGAGTGGGCGCAGGCGCAGGCACAGGCGAAGGCGGTTTCCAAGATTCCCGAAGATGATACACAAGCAATCAAAAGAAATGCAATGGCTGTTGTACTGAGTCTTTCCTTGTCGTGCTGCTGCACTTGCTGCACCGTTAGGTCCACGTTGTGCAGTTTGGCCTCGGCCTCAGCGCGAGTTCAAGATCAGCGGCTGCCGCACCCACCAAAGCTGCATCTGCGTAGCACTTCAACGTTTAAGTTTACAACGGCGGCAGCGGCAACAGCAGCCACAGTAGACATGTTGTTTTTGGCATATTTCCTGCATGTCTCTTTGCACTTAAGGCACACAATTAGTTTCTGTTCTGTTCTGTTCGTTACATTCAGCACTTTGTCTATCGTCTTCACATTTCAAGTAACGGTTTCGCAGTTAGCAAATAACAAATAAAAACACATAAATAGCACAGAGACACAAACACCAACTACCTTTACCGAGCCAAAAGTCTACTACGAGAGATCATTTGARCGGCACAGTTGCACAGTCGCACAGTCGCACAATTCGCGTCGTCCGAGAAGAGTTCTTATTTCACAACCGTCCTCGCTGATGGTGCGCGCGCAATTGATTCCTTCTTCAGCGACAACGTCGCTCGTAAGCGTCAGCCACAGAGAAACAAGAAGAACTCTGCAGTTACTTCGCCGCCGGCTTCGAAAAGGCAGCAGCCTGGCAAATATGCGAGCACGAAGGCAGGCAGGCAGAGACCCGACATCGTATGCGCACGTTGTGTGCGTCGCTGAGAAGTGGTGTTTTCCAATCACGAGCAGCTTCGTGCTGCGGCCCGTGCGCATCTCTTTCATAATAACGGACGTTTTTTGTGTGTTCGCCTTTGCAGCAGCGACAAAGGCAGCAACGGCAGCAGAAGCAGCAGCGCTCGCAACAAAATACAAAGAGGAGCTCATCGATCTTGCACTAGGGGCTTTTGTTTGAGTATACGCCGGCATGCATATGCCCTGCCTGTCAGGTTTGTTAGGATATTTTTCCCGTTTTGTATAGAATATTGTAGAAGTCCTTAAGGTAACAAAGCTACTGTGAGGCGTTTTCATAGTTTTACATAATAAAGATATACATATACATGTTTGTGTATAAAATATAAAATGTTTATTTGCATATGTATGTACGAATAAGGTATATACATATATATGTATATTAATGATAAGAAACTAATGTTACGAATATACTCTCTATACCTGGAAATTTCCAGGTGTGTATCATGAATGCATATGTTTGTATTTTTGTACTGCAATCTAAATGATCAGATTTTAGGAAAAAAGGCAAGCAGATCATGTTTATATGTAATATGCACTTACATATGTATGTGTATATTATTTTATGAATCCATAATGAAGGTTAGTGTATGTACATATGTAAATAAAGTAGATTTTTTT